CTGGGAGGGCTTCCCCATCAGAGAGCAGGGCCTGAGGGCCAGAAAGTGGTGAGGGCCGATGGGATCCTGGGGGCTGGGCCTCTGCCCTGGGGACCAGGAGCGGGGCACCCCCGAGGGCGCCTGCTCCGTGGGCCACGAGGGCGGTGTGGATGCGCCAGCACCCTCCAAGGGAGCCCCTGGGTCAGCATCCGTGGCCGCGGAAAACCTGGTCCTGCTCCGCCTCTGACCACCTCAGTGGTGGGAACCTGGGGGACTCTGGAGGCCCAGGACAGGGGTGGGCGTGTCGTGTTTGCTCAGGAAACAGGGCAGCCAGGCCCCCAAAACTGTGTCCCTGGCTGCCCTGTGTCCCCTCGGCCCCTGCCTCCCTCCTGCCCCTGCTCCCGGGGGAGGAAAGGCTGAAGCTGCTGGCCTGGGGCCCACAGGAGGGGGTCGAGGCTGGCCCCGCCAGGCAGATTTTCCGGTTTTAAGATCGATCCATACAGAAATATTTAAATTTTTAGAAGCAAAACTTATACAATATTAAAATGATACCAACTCCCTTTCCATTTTTACCTGGCTTTTTGCCCCGGGTGTGTGTGGTGTGCATCTGTGCACACCTGTCCTGAGCCTGCCCTGGGCGATGCAGCTGACCTGGCCACGGCACAGGCTGGGGTGCTTGTGAGGCACCAGGGCTGCTCAGGATGCTATCTGGGCCTCGCCTTGAAGGCTGCATCTGCCTTGCTGCGACCATGCTGCCCTCTGCACCAGGCCTAAGCCTCTGTAAACTCCCGAACGTGGTTCCAATAAACGTGCTCACCAGCATGCACGGGCTTCCCGCTCGCTCAGCCTCATGTGCGACACCAGGTGTCTGTCAGAGCCTGTGCCAGGCCCAAAGGACACCCCAAGAAAAGACCTGGCCCGTCCTCAGAGGGCTGAGCTGGATGGGCTCCCAGGGTGGGCTGCAAAGCCTGCTCCTCAGGGCACAGACCCTAACCCCGGGCCGCTGGCCCCCCGACCCTGGGGGCTGCTCTGCCTGCAGTCTTAGAGGATGGTGGTTCCAGAAAGGCCCTACCCTGGAGAGGCTGGGGTGCTGGTTGGGCCTCCAGAAGCCTGTGCTGCAGCTCATCCTCTGCTGCCCCAACAATGGGAGTGGGTGTGGCCCACCCCGTGGCCAAGGAGGTCAGGGAGTGTCCTGCCCCGTGAGGCTCCACCACCTGCTGCTGCCCAAGGGGCCTGCCCAGCCCACCACCCGGATGAGTGCTGCTGTCGGGGTGTTCCGTCTCATCCCTGGCTACGTTGCACCTAGGCAGGGACCTTGGGAAGGTGGGCATGAGGCCCGGAGGCCGGAATCCTGGGGTGCTAGGGAAGTTCTGGGGGGTTGCTCTGCCCTCATCATGTTCCTGCACTGGCAGGGATCGTGGGCGGCCACAGGAACCGCTGTCATCACTTCCCCAACTCAGCCAGGCAGAGGGGCCACTGGTGCTCCCCTCCCCCGAGCCCCACCAGGCCCCTCAGAGACAGCCTGGCAAGACGTCGCCATCCTCGAGCCCTGGGACGCTTGCGTGCGGGCAGCTGTGGCCCCACTGAGAGCAGGGGTGTGGTGAGCTGGTTGCCTGGGACCCAGGGCGGCACCTGAGCCTGAGGAGTCTCAGTTCTGGGACAGGGGACTCACAGAGCCCCTGGCGGTGACAATGACAGCAGCCTGATGACCGAGGCCTCCCAGTGAGCCCCTGAGTGGTGCTGTGGGCAGAGCAGGGCTTGAGGAGCCAGCTGGGGGTCTGCGGGAGTCAAGGAGGGGCTGAGAGCCTGGGGCCAGATCGTGTCTTGAGAAAAGCGCAGTCGAAATGGCCACGTCAAGGGAGCAAGGTGGAGGCCAGAGCCCGCCTGCTCCGGCTGGGGAAGGGCTGGGGTCACAGAGGCTAGGGTTACCCGGAGGCACAGGGGTGCCTGGCTCATAGGCTGGGTGGCCTCTTGTGCAGGAGGGGAGCTGAGGCCAGGGCCACAGGCAGGCCAGCAGGCCCTGCGTGGGAGTGTGCAGGGGCTCACCAGCCTGGGCTGAGCCCTGGTGTCCTTGTCCTGGCTCTGTCCTCCCAGGCCTCTGTGCATCCCCTACCTCCTCCTGGGGATCCTGTCTGGGCCAGGCTCTGGCCAAACCTCTGCAGTGGGTGCGTCCCCCAGCACAGATGGACTCTCCAATCCTGGGGTCAAGCCCTGTGGATGTCAGGCCGGGCAGTCACACACCCGGGTGCCCAGAGCGGCCAGGCCACTGCTGCCATCCACCACCAGTGAGGGGGGCCAGGATGGTAGCAAGAGCTGGAGGGGCTGAGGAGTGCCAGGGAAGGCCAGAGATGCAGGCTGGGAGGGCTTCCCCATCAGAGAGCAGGGCCTGAGGGCCAGAAAGTGGTGAGGGCCGATGGGATCCTGGGGGCTGGGCCTCTGCCCTGGGGACC